AAAGTTTAATCGATACAGAGGAAGAAATAACTCTGAATGAAAAAAGTTTGATGAATGCAGAGGAACAGACAACTCTGCCCGTCGACGAAGAGGACCATGAGTCGTTGAAAGAATAATATTTTATGTTTTTTTGAAATATTGTCCTTTGATTGTATATTATTGTATATTTGATGAGTGGTGTAATTTTCAAAATAATTTCTATTAAATTATTGAAATTTATAATAAATAAATATAACTATTTTTAAAATAAACAAGCCATCCATTTCATATATTACTATCTAATCAATGCATATCCTCTCCTGATTGATTTAAATTTATAAAATTCAATTTTCAAAAGATTATATTTATATTAAAAAAAAAAGGATAAAATAAACTTAAAAATAAAAAGTTTAATTAATAAGAATATCTAAAGTCTAAAAATAGTTGCAATTTTTCATTTGGAGTGTTCGTTACTCTTGTATTGTATCGTGCATTTGTAATCCTCAATCCGAGCTAAACGTTATCTGGGCTTAGCTTGAATATGTAACGGAAATCTAATTCATGTTTTGAATCGATCTAAAATCTTTGCTTAATCCAGAAAATTTGGAAAAATTCGAGAAATTTCGAGTAGCCCGAGTCCAACGGGGGGCGAAAAATGTATGGTAGTCCCATTTTGTTGATACAGGATAAATTTAGTTAATTTTTTACGTGCGTATGCATTAACCCGTTAAGTCCCAAGAGGACGTTTTATTGACACTTATTTCAGTCGCTGTATTTTTGATGAAAAAGGTGTAAAAAAAAATGTGCGAGTAGCCTGTTCTAATGTAAAATTTAATGCCCTTTTTAAAATCTGAGCTCAGATTTTCGAAAAAAAAAATCAAGTCAAAAGTTATGGTTGATTTTATCCAAAAAAAAACGTGATTTTGAAAAAGAAAATTTTTCATTTTTTGATTTTCCAGACGAAAAGCATTTAAAATCTCATGGTTTTAAAACGTTTAATATTATAGAAGTATGTTTAAAGTTTTGAAACAAAAAAGAAAATTATCATTGAGTGAATGAGGGATGATTAGATTTTTATTAGTCAATTAATAATAAAAAAAAATAGCTTGTCGAAATTCACCAAAATCATTTATACGTGGAACATTTCATTATATTTTTTTATTCAAGTTCTTCAGTTTTATATTTATTATTTTTAATAAAACAATTAAAATTCCATTCTTATAAACAAAATCGCTGAATAAATGCTGGCTTGATAATAATATTTAAAAACTGCGCGCTTTTGGATAGCAGCGCCATCTCCAACTATTGGTGACGCAGATGGCGCTACTGTGAGTTCTGCGACGTGGCGAGAGATATACTTTCCAACACATACTTTCAATCGTCTGTCGTCATTCAAAGGGGACACACGTGCTTACATCGCACCTGAGTTTATTCAAACAGTGTGAATTACATACATCAATGAAATTTGTGAGAGCTCGACAATCGTTATCGTAACTGAAACAATCAAATAAATCAAAAAACAAACAAATCAAGTAAGTACCATTATAATTATTCAAAACATACTCAAAAGTGATGTTCAGTTCTCGCACGAGAATATAGAAAACACATACACGCACGTGGCAATAGCAGCATGAGCTATCGCACACGGAATAGTATATTTCTCAACGGGTGCACATATTCGTTTTTTAGCAAAACGAGGGATTATAGCACGAGCCGAAGGCGAGTGCTGTAACGTGTTTTGTTAAAAAACCATATCTGCACCAGTTACGGATACTATTTTTTCCTACGAGAGCCTAAAATTAGCGGAAAAGTTGCGTATTTTAGGTTAGAGTGGGAAAAAAACTTTGCTGTTTCTTCGGCACGTTGTCTATTTCTTGTGGTGCGTACTCCTTCTTGGGCAGTTATATGCACTGCGCACCCCTGGATACTGGCAGCGGTAGCACGCGCGCATAGAACCTAGCACTTCTATAGCCTGCGCTCTCTCCAGTATCTCTTCTGTTTCTTGAGCTTCTTTTTGTAATTTTCTTAGCTCCGCGTCGCGCTCGTCGCGTTCTTTGCGCAGTTTATCCATTGCTTCTCTCTTGGCCTGAAGCTGAGCTCTTGCCTGCGCGGCTGTCTCATCCTGCATCTGTCTTTTCTTCTGGGGTTCTTCGCGGAATTCCTGGATGGCCTTGCGCTCATCCTCCCAGTCTTTTATTTCCCGGCGATGCGGTGCGCTGTATTTCGCGCCTTCTTCGCCCCATTCCGCCTCGAATTTGTGGAACTTTTCGAAGGTTCCAGCTAGCATTTCTTCTAGCTGGTCGTCTCTCTTCCACATTTTCTGCAACTCGGCCTCGATCTCGGCCCACTGGCCTT